GCTCGTCTGTATGACTGTGCGACTGTGTGTCGTTGTCTTTTCTCTGGTCGCTGGCACCACAAACCCGGGCCATTCGATTCCTGCTCACGACCAATGTCAGTGGTGAATATTTGAACCGGTTCCTGGGTCTCGCCTAGGTCGACTCAGCCTTAAGTGGGAGCATGGTTCATTTTTGTCAACGTAAATGTGTACCGGGAAGACAGGCGGCCAGGCATTGGTGCCGGTCACACAACCCCATTTGTGCCTGTGTCTGTACACAATGGCTGAATATGTGTGTGTGTATATATTGTGCTTGTGTGTGTGTATATATATTGTGCTTGTGTGTACACATTGGGGAGCGGTGGCGCAGTGGTAAGCGTACTGCACTCCGAGAACACGGCAATCCGAGTTCGATTCTCACTCACAAACCAATATCGGATATTTGATCCGGTCCCGTGCCTCCCCTAGGTTGACTCAGCCTTAACTAAAATGAGTTTCTCTGGTGTGGTGTGTCAACATCAGCTGGTCACCACCCACCCCTCTTCTTAGCAGCACTTCCCCTACAGTCTGCGAAGGTTATACGGGGGATCTTTGTCCTTATCTTTGTGTATACAGTGGTTGCATGTCACGTGTGAGTGGGTTTGTGACTTTGTGTGTGTGTACACAGTGGTTGCCTGTAGTGTGTGGGTGTGACTTTCGGTGTGTGTGTGTGACTGTTAGTGTGTGTGTGTACACTGGTTGCCTGTAGTGTGTGGGTACACAGTGGTTGCCTGTAGTGTGAGTGACTTAGTGGGTGTACAGTGGTTGCCTGTAGTGTGTGTGTGTGACTTTCGGTGTGTGTGTGTACACAGTGGTTGCCTGTAGTGTGAGTGAGTGTTGGGCTGTGTACAGTGGTTGCCTGTAGTGTGTGGGTGTGACTTTCGGTGTGTGTGTGTACACAGTGGTTGCCTGTAGTGTGAGTGAGTGTTGGGCTGTGTACAGTGGTTGCCTGTAGTGTGTGTGTGACTGTTAGTGTGTGTGTGTACACAGTGGTTGCCTGTAGTGTGAGTGAGTGTTGGGATGTGTACAGTGGTTGTCTGTAGTGTGTGTGACTGTTAGTGGGTGTACAGTGGTTGCCTGTAGTGTGTGTGTGTGACTTTCTGTGTGTGTGTGTACACAGTGGTTGCCTGTAGTGTGAGTGAGTGTTGGGCTGTGTACAGTGGTTGCCTGTAGTGTGTGTGCCTGTTAGTGTGTGTATGTACAGTGGTTGCCTGTTGTGTGTGTATGACTTTAGGTGTGTGTGTACATAGTGGTTGCCTGTAGTGTGAGTGAGTGTTGGGGTGTGTACAGTGGTTGCCTGTAGTGTGTGTGACTGTTAGTGTGTGTGTACAGTGGTTGCCTGTAGTGGGTGGGTGTGCCTGTTGGTGTGTATACACAGTGGTGGTTGCCTGTAGTGTGTGTGGGTGTTGGGGGTGTGTGTGACTTAGTGTGTGTGTACACTGGTTGCCTGCAGCGTGTGGGTGTGACTTTCGGTGTGTGTGTGTGTACACACAGTGGTTGCCTGTAGTGTGTGTGACTGTTAGTGTGTGTGGACAGTGGTTGCCTGTAGTGTGTGTGACTGTTAGTGGGTGTACAGTGGTTGCCTGTAGTGTGAGTTAGTGTTGGGGTGTGTACAGTGGTTGCCTGTAGTGTGTGTGACTGTTAGTGTGTGTGTGTACAGTGGTTGCCTGTTGTGTGTGTATGACTTTCGGTGTGTGTGTGTGTGTGTACACAGTGGGTGCCTGTAGTGTGAGTTAGTGTTGGGGTGTGTACAGTGGTTGCCTGTAGTGTGTGTGACTGGTAGTGTGTGTGTACAGTGGTTGCCTGTAGTGGGTGTGTGTGCCTGTTGGTGTGTATACACAGTGGTTGCCTGTAGTGTGTGTGACTGTTAGTGTGTGTGTGTGTACACTGGTTGCCTGTAGTGTGAGTTAGTGTTGGGCTGTGTACAGTGGTTGCCTGTAGTGTGTGTGACTGTTAGTGTGTCGGTACAGTGGTTGCCTGTAGTGTGTGTGACTGGTAGTGTGTGTGTACAGTGGTTGCCTGTAGTGGGTGTGTGTGCCTGTTGATGTGTATACACAGTGGTTGCCTGTAGTGTGTGCGAGTGGGTCTTTGAATTGTGGGATGTGTGTGTGTACACAGTGGTTCCCTGTAGTATGTGAGTGGGTGTGTGTGACTGTGTGTGTGTGGGTTTGGCTGTTATGGTGTGTGTACACAGTGGTTGCCTGTAGTGTGTGTTAGTGGGTGAGTTTGGCTGTTGGAGTGTGTGTGAGTGGGTGTGTGTGACTGTGTGTGTGTGAGTGGGTGTGTGTGAGTGTGTGTGCTGGTGTGTGTGAGTGCGTGTGTGTGACTGTGTGTGTGTGAGTGGGTGTGTGTGAGTGTGTGTGCTGGTGTGGGGAGCGGTAGTGTAGCGGTTAGCGCGCTGCGCTATGAACCTGGCGACCCGGGTTCGATTCCCGCTCACGGCTAACACCAGTGACGATTATCTGAACCGGTCCTGGGCCTCCCCTAGGTCGACTCAGCCTTAAATGAGTACCTGGTGCGGTGTGTAAACATCGCCACTGGGGAGACAAAGGCGGTCGGGCGTGGTGCTGGCCACCCACCCCCTCGTGTACCGTTCCGGCCTTTATAGGTGCTCGCTAACAGCACTTGCCCCTACAGTCTGTTAAGGCTATACGGGGGATCTTTGTCTTTTGTGCTGGTGTGTGTGAGTGCGTGTGTGTGGCTGTTGGTGTGTGTGTACACAGTGGTTGCCTGTAGTGTGTGTGAGTGGGTGTGTGTGACTGTGTGTGTGTGAGTAGGTGGGTTTGGCTGTTGGTGTGTGTGTGAGTGGGTGTGTGTGACTGTGTGTGTGTGAGTAGGTGGGTTTGGCTGTTGGTGTGTGTGTGTGAGTGGGTGTGTGTGACTGTGTGTGTGTGTACACAGTGGTTGCCTGTAGTGTGAGTGGGCGTGTGTGACTGTTGGTGTGTGTGTACACAGGGGTTCCACGTAGTGTGAGTGGGTGTGTGTGTGTGACTGTGTGTGTGAGTGGGTGTGTGTGACTGTGCGTGTATGAGCGGGTGTGTGTGACTGTGTGTGTGTGTGACTGTGTGAGTGAGTATGTGTGACTGTTGGCGTGTGTGTACACAGTGGTTGCCTGTAGTGTGCGTGGGTGTGTGTGACTGTATGTGTGTGGCCTCAAGGTGCACTTGGCCTGGCACAAGCGTCGTGGTGACGTCACCGCCACTTAGTGGCGAATGGCGGTTGTTGTTGTGACTGTGTATGAGTGGGTGTGTGTGACTGTGTGTGTGAGAGTGGGTGTGTGTGACTGTGTGTGAGTGAGTGTGTGTGACTGTGTGTGTGTGAGTGGGTGTGTGTGACTGTGTGTGAGTGAGTGTGTGTGACTGTGTGTGTGTGTGACTGTGGTGGGGAGCGGTAGTGCAGCGGTTAGCGCGCTGCGCTATGAACCTGGTGACCCGGGTTCGATTCCCGCTCACGGCCAACACCACCAGTGACGATTATCTGAACCGGTCCTGGGCCTCCCCTATGTCGACTCAGCCTGAAATGAGTACCCGGTGCGGTGTGTAAACATCACCACTGGGGAGACAAAGGCGGTCGGGCGTGGTGCTGGCCACCCACCCACTCGTGTGCCGTTCCGGCCTTCATAGGTGCTCGCTAACAGCACTTGCCCCTACAGTCTGTTAAGGCTATACGGGGGATCTTTGTGTGACTGTGTGTGTGTGACTGTGTGTGTGTGACTGTGTGTGTGTGACTGTGTGTGTGTGACTGTGTGTGTGTGAGTGGGTGTGTGTGACTGTGTGTGAGTGGGTGTGTGTGACTGTGTGAGTGGGTGTGTGTGACTGTGTGAGTGGGTATGTGTGACTGTGTGACTGTGTGACTGTGTGAGTGGGTGTGTGTGACTGTGTGAGTAGGTGTGTGTGACTGTGTGACTGTGTGACTGTGTGTGTGAGTGTGTGAGTGTGTGAGTGTGTGAGTGTGACAGTGTGTGAGTGTGTGAGTGTGTGAGTGTGTGAGTGTGTGACTGTGACAGTGTGTGAGTGTGTGACTGTGTGACTGTGAGTGTGTGAGTGTGTGAGTGTGTGAGTGTGTGAGTGTGTGAGTGTGTGAGTGTGACTGTGTGAGTGTGACTGTGACTGTGTGAGTGTGAGTGTGTGAGTGTGAGTGTGTGAGGTGTGAGTGTGAGTGTGTGAGTGTGTGAGTGTGTGAGTGTGAGTGTGTGAGTGTGAGTGTGTGAGTGTGAGTGTGAGTGTGTGAGTGTGAGTGTGTGAGTGTGAGTGTGTGAGTGTGAGTGTGTGAGTGTGAGTGTGTGAGTGTGAGTGTGTGAGTGTGAGTGTGTGAGTGTGAGTGTGTGAGTGTGTGAGTGTGTGAGTGTGTGAGTGTGAGTGTGAGTGTGTGAGTGTGAGTGTGTGAGTGTGAGTGTGTGAGTGTGAGTGTGTGAGTGTGAGTGTGTGAGTGTGAGTGTGTGAGTGTGAGTGTGTGAGTGTGAGTGTGTGAGTGTGAGTGTGTGAGTGTGAGTGTGTGAGTGTGAGTGTGTGAGTGTGAGTGTGTGAGTGTGAGTGTGTGAGTGTGAGTGTGTGAGTGTGAGTGTGTGAGTGTGAGTGTGTGAGTGTGAGTGTGTGAGTGTGACTGTGTGATGGTGTGAGTGTGTGATGGTGTGACTGTGTGAGTGTGTGACTGTGTGACTGTGTGACTGTGTGACTGTGTGAGTGTGTGTGTGTGACTGTGTGAGTGTGTGTGTGACTGTGTGAGTGGGTGTGTTTGACTGTGTGTGTGACTGGGTGTGTGTGTGTGACTGTGTGAGTGTGTGTGTGTGTGACTGTTGGTGTGTGTGTGTGTACACAGTGGTTGCACGTAGTGTGAGTGGGTTGGTGTGTGTGTGGGGGATGGGGAAGGCTGATGTGCACACACACACACACACGCTATCACACACACACACGCGTGTGTGTGCTCGAGTTTAACTCCGCCCAGCGCCACCCCACGTCCTATTAACCCCTCCCCTACCCCCTTCCACCATCACCACCATCAACCTCCTCCTCCTACTCTCAGCCTTCCCTCCCGGGCAAACATCATCACCATCATCACAAGCTACAACCACCATCACCCTCGACGTGCATGTGCCTGTAAGTCTCTGTGCCTCGCTGCCTGTGTTTGTGTGTGTGCCAACAGCACTTGACCCAACAGTCTGTATAGGGCTATCCGGGGGATCTTTGTCTTTGTATGTGAGTCTGTGTGTCTGTGTGTGTGTGTCATGTCTCCGTGTGTGTCTTTGTGAGTGTCTGATGTTCCGTGTGGGGAGCGGTGGCGCAGTGGTTAGCGCTACGAACCCGCCTGCCCGGGTTCGATTCTCGCTCTCACGGCCAACAACCGGTTGACGATTGTCTGGACCGGTCCTACGGCCCTCCCCTAGGTCGACTCGGCCTCAAATTAGTGCGGTGTTGTGAAACATCGCCGCGAGGGAGACAAAGGCGGCCGGGCGTGGTGCGGCCAACAACCGGTTGACGATTGTCTGAACCGGTCCTGGGCCCCCCCCTAGGTCGACTCGGCCTCAAATGAGTGCGGTGTTGTGAAACATCGCCGCGAGGGAGACAAAGGCGGCCGGGCGTGGTGCTGGCCACCCACCCCCTCGTGTGCCGTGCCGGTCTTCATAGGTGCTCGCTGACAGCACTTGCCCCTACAGTCTGTTAAGGCTATACGGGGGATCTTTGTGTTTTGTATGTCAGCCTGTGTGTGTATGTGGCTTTGCATATATGTGTGTGTGTCTGTGAGTCATTGTGTATGTTTGAGTCTGTGTCTCTGTACTGTGTGTGGCTGTATGTGTCTTTGTGTGTATTTGTCTGAATGTCTGTCTGTATGTGTGTATGGGAGTCTGTATACGGCACTTGCCCCAACAGCCAGCGAGGGCTACACGGGGGACCTTTGCCTTTGCTTTAAATGTGATTGTGGTTTCTGTGTGTGGCTGTCTGATGGGATGTATGCGAGTCTCCGTGTGTGTGTATGTGATGTGTGTGTGTGTGTATGTGTGTATGTGATGTGTGTAATTTATGTGATGTGTGTGTGTGATGTGTGTGTATGTGATGTGTGTGTATGTGTGTGTATGTGATGTGTGTGGATGTGTGTGTATGTGATGTGTGTATGTGATATGTGTATGTGATGTGTGTGTATGTGTGTGTATGTGTGTGTGTGTGATGTGTGTATGTGATGTGTGTGTGTATGTGATGTGTGTGTGTATGTGATGTGAGTGTGTATGTGATGTGTGTGTGTGTATGTGATGTGTGTGTATGTGATGTGAGTGTGTATGTGATGTGAGTGTGTATGTGATGTGTGTGTATGTGATGTGAGTGTGTATGTGATGTGAGTGTGTATGTGATGTGTGTGTGTGTATGTGATGTGAGTGTGTATGTGATGTGAGTGTGTATGTGTGTATGTATGTGTCGTGGGGAGCGGTGGTGTCACGGTTAGCGCGCTGCGTTACGAACCTGGCGATCCGGGTTCGATTCCCGCTCATGGCCAACACCGCCAGTCACAATTATCTGAACGAGGTCCTGGGCGACCCCTAGGTCGACTCGGCCTCAAACGAGTACCTGGCGCGGTGTCTGAAACGTCATCACTGGGGAAGACAAAGGCGGCCGGGCGGGGTGCTGGCCACCCCCACCCCCCCGTGTGCCGTGTCGGGCTTCATAGGTGCTCGCTAACAGCACTTGCCCCAACAGTATGTGAAGGCTATACGGGGAATCTGTCTCTTTGTGTGTGAGTGTTGCTGTGTGGATGCCTGTCTGTGTGTGTGAGTGAGTCTGTATGTCTGTGTGTGTGTGAGTCTATGTCTTTGTGTGTGTGTGAGTCTTGTCTCTGTGTGTGTGTGAGAGTCTTGTCTATGTCTGTGTGTGTGAGTCTATGTCTGTGTGTGTGAGTCTGTCTCTGTGTGTGTGTGAGTCTGTATGTCTCTGTGTGTGTGAGAGTCTGTCTCTGTGTGTGTGTGAGTCTGTATGTCTCTGTGTGTGTGTGAGTATGTCTCTGTGTGTGTGAGTCTATGTCTCTGTGTGTGTGAGTCTTGTCTCTGTGTGTGTGTGTGAGTCTGTCTCTGTGTGTGTGAGTCTTTGTCTCTGTGTGTGAGTCTTGTCTCTGTGTGTGTGTGAGTCTGTCTCTGTGTGTGTGTGAGTCTGTACGTGTCTGTGTGTGTGAGTCTGTATGTCTCTGTGTGTGAGTCTCTGTGTGTGTGTGTCAGTCTGTCTGTGTGTGTGAGTCTGTATGTCTGTGTGTGTGTGAGTCTGTATGTCTGTGTGTGTGTGTGAGTCTGTATGTCTGTGTGTGTGAGTATGTCTGTGTGTGTGAGTCTGTATGTCTCTGTGTGTGTGTGAGTCTATGTCTGTGTGTGTGTGTGAGTCTGTATGTCTGTGTGTGTGAGTATGTCTGTGTGTGTGAGTCTGTATGTCTCTGTGTGTGTGAGTCTATGTCTTTGTGTGTGTGAGTCTGTCTGTGTGTGTGTCTGTATGTCTCTGTGTGTGTGAGTCTATGTCTCTGTGTGTGAGTCTCTTGTGTGTGTGTGTGAGTCTGTCCGTGTGTGTGTGTGAGTCTGTATGTCTGTGTGTGTGTGAGTCTGTATGCCTGTGTGTGTGTGAGTCTGTTTGTCTGTGTGTGTGTGAGTCTATGTCTCTGTGTGTGTGTGAGTGTGTGTGAGTATGTCTGTGTGTGTGTGAGTCTGTATGTCTCTGTGTGTGTGTGAGTCTATGTCTGTGTGTGTGTGTGTGAGTCTGTATGTCTCTGTGTGTGAGTCTATGTCTGTGTGTGTGTGAGTCTATGTGTGTGTGTGTGAGTCTGTATGTCTATGTGTGTGTGTGAGTCTGTGTGTGTGTGTGTGAGTCTGTATGTCTATGTGTGTGTGTGAGTCTGTATGTCTGTGTGTGTGAGTCTATGTGTGTGTGTGAGTCTATGTCTGTGTGTGTGAGTCTATGTCTATGTGTGTGTGTGAGTCTGTGTGTCTCTGTTTGTGTGGGTCTGTATGTCTGTGTGTGTGTATGTCTCTGTGTGTGTATGTGAGTCTGTATGTCTGTGTGTGTGTGAGTCTATGTCTCTGTGTGTGAGTCTGTATGTCTGTGTGTGTGTGAGTCTGTATGCCTGTGTGTGTGTGAGTTTGTCTGTGTGTGTGTGAGTCTATGTCTCTGTGTGAGTCTGTATGTCTGTGTGTGTGTGAGTCTGTATGTCTTTGTGTGTGAGTCTGTATGTCTTTGTGTGTGTATGAGTCTGTATGTCTCTGTGTGTGTGTGAGTCTGTATGTCTGTGTGTGTGTGAGTCTGTAGCTGTGTGTGTGTGAGTCTATGTATCTCTGTGTGTGTGTGAGTCTGTATGTATCTGTGTGTATGTGAGTCTATGTCTCTGTGTGTGTGTGAGTCTGTATGTCTCTGTGTGTGTGAGTGTATGTCTGTGTATGTGTGTGTCTGTATGTCTGTGTGTGTGTGAGTCTGTAGCTGTGTGTGTGTGAGTCTGTGTCTCTGTGTGTGTGAGTCTGTATGTATCTGTGTGTATGTGAGTCTATGTCTCTGTGTGTGTGTGAGTCTGTATGTCTCTGTATGTGTGTGAGTCTGTATGTCTTTGTGTGTGTGTGAGTCTGTATGTCTGTGTGTGTGTGAGTGTATGTCTGTGTGTGTGTGTGAGTCTGTATGTCTGTGTGTGTGTGTGAGTCTGTAGCTGTGTGTGTGTGAGTCTGTATGTATCTGTGTGTATGTGAGTCTATGTCTCTGTGTGTGTGTGTGAGTCTGTATGTCTCTGTATGTGTGTGAGTCTGTATGTCTCTGTATGTGTGTGAGTCTGTATGTCTCTGTATGTGTGTGAGTCTGTATGTCTGTGTGTGTGTAGCGGTTAGCGATCCGGGTTCGATTCCCGCTCACGGTCAACACCAGTGACGATTATCTGAACCGGTTCTGGGCCCTCCCCTAGGTCGACTCGACCTCAAATGAGTACCTGGTGCGGTGTGTAAACATCGCCACTGGGGAGACAAAGGAGGCCGGGCGTGGGATGCTGGCTGTCTACCCACCCCCTCTTGGGCCCATCCGGCCTTCACAGGTGCTCGCTAACAGCACTTGCCCCAGCAGTCTGTGAAGGCTATACGGGGGATCTTTGTCTTTGCCTCCGTGGCTGTACGTGCCCGTGTCTTTGTGTGTATGTGGCTGTATGTGTCTTTGTGTGAGTGCCTGTGAATTTGTATTTCGCTGCGCGTGTGTGTACGTGTCCGTACGGGGGAGCGATGGCGCAGTGGTTAGCGCATCCGGGCGGCCCGAGTTCGATCCCCGCTCACGGACAACTGCCAGTGACGATTCTCTGAGCCAGTCCTGGGCCTCACCTAGGTCGACTCAGCCTCAAATCGATATCTGGTGCGGCGCGTAAATGACATCGCCACCGGAGAGACAAAGGCGGCCGGGCGTGGGGTGCTGGCCACCCCCACCCCCTCGTGTACCGTTGCCGGCCTTCCTAGGTGCTCGCTAACAGCACTTGCCCCGACAGTCTGTTGGAGGCTACGCGGGGCATCTTTGTCTTTGTGAGTCTGGGTGGCTGTGCATGTCGTGACATTGGGAATGGTGGCGCTTTGGTTGGCGCATCGGCGACGATTATCCGAGCTGGCCGTGGGCCTCCCCTCGGTCGACTCAGCCATAAATGAGTACCTGTGGTAGACATCAGCCACCCACTTCCTCGTGTGCCGTGCCGGCCTTCGTTGGTGCTCGCGAACAGCACTTGCCCCAACAGTCTGTCAAGGCTATAGGGGGGACCTTTGTCTTTGTTTTGTGAGTCTGTAAATGTGGCTGTGTGTACCTGTGTCTAGGGTATCGTAGGTATGTTACTATGCGTGAGTTTGTTTTATATACGTGGGTGTATGTATGTATGTCTTTGTATGTCAGTGCGTGTGTCTGTGTGTGTGTATTTTTGTGTGTGGTTGTGGCTATGTGTTATGTGTATACGTGTGTGTTCGTGTACGTATATTTATGTATTTGTGCATGTCGCCCGTGTTGATTGTGTACGTGTGTGCCAATGAGCCATTGTGTACATGCCTGTGTATTTCACAGTGGGCAATGAATGTTGTGTCTGTGTGTGTCAGTGGGCCTGTGAATGAATCTGTGTCTCTATCGGACTGTCGGTGTGTGTCTGTCTCTTTGTCTGTATATACACGTGGCTGAGTATGTGTGTCCGTGTGACATTGCCGAATCTTCATCGGTGCTCGCTAACAGCACTTTGCCCAAACGTCTGCTGAGGCTATACGGGGGATCTTTGTCTGCGTGTGTGTGTGTGAGAGTTGTGTGTATCTGACGGGATGAGTGGGTGGGCATGAGTCTATATGTGGGTGTCCGTGTGCATGTTTGTTGCTGCTGGGGTGCGGTCGTGTCGTGGTTAGTGCGCTGCAGCGCTACGAACCCGGCAACCCGAGTTCGATTCCCGCTCACGGCCAACCAACACCAGGGACGGTTAGCTGAACCGGTCCTGGGCCTCCCCTGGGTCGACTCAGCCTCAAATTAGTACCTGGTGCGGTATGTAAACGTCGCCACTGGGGAGACAAAGGCGGCCGGGCGTGGTGCTGACCACCCACCCCCTCGTGTGCCGTGCCGGCCTTCATAGGTGCTCGCTCACAGCACTTGCCCCAGCAGTCTGCTACGGCTATAAGGGGGATCTTTGTCTTTGCGTGTTCTTGTGAACCTGTGTGTACGAGTGTGGGGAGTGACGTAGTGGTTAGCGGACTGCATTATAATCCCAGGAACCTGAGTTTTCTTTCCCGGTCACGGATAACATCAGTGGTCATTTATCGTTGAGCATTTCCTGGGCTTCCTCTTGGTTGACTCGGACTTAGATCAGAATCGGAAGAGAATATCTATTCACACTGGAGGAATCCGATGAGCTATGAAGCTCTTTATCTCAGATATCCAGGGGGTTACTTTGTGTAGTGTGTTGGGTACGCTGCCGGCCACACCATCCTTAACAGGCTAGTTACCCCAAGGGTTGCCTCTTAAGGAAAAGAGCTAGCAATCAAGTCTCGTGGCGGCCTTAATAAGTGCTTGCTAACAGCACTTTCCACAATAGTCTGTGTGTGAGTCTGTATGTCTCTGTGTGTCTGTGAGTCTGTATGTCTCTGTGTGTGAGTCTATGTCTGTGTGTGTGTGAGTCTGTATGTCTCTGTGTGTGTGTGAGTCTGTATGTCTCTGTCTGTGAGTCAGTATGTCTGTGTGTGTGTGTGAGTCTGTCTGTGTGTCTGTGAGTCTGTATGTCTGTGTGTGTGTGTGAGTCTGTATGTCTCTGTCTGTGTGTCTGTGAGTCTGTATGTCTGTGTGTGTGTGAGTCTGTATGTCTCTGTCTGTGTGTTTGTGAGTCTGTATGTCTCTGTGTGCGTGTGTGAGTCTATGTCTGTGTGTGTGTGCGAGTCTGCATGACTCTGTGTGTGTGTGAGTCTGTATGTCTAAATGGTGGTGGACCTTGGTATCGCATGTGTATGGCTGTCTGTGTGCTAGGAGTTTGTGTGTGCCTGTGTGCTCCTACGATTTTTTGCGCGCGCGCGTGTATGTGTGCGTGTCTGAGTGTGTATGTGCGGCTGTCTTAACGTACGGTTGTGTTGCACGTGTGTGCCTGTGGATCCGTGTGCAAGTTAGCCGGGCGGCTGTGGCCACGCACGTGCTCTGTAATCCGCCATTGTGGAGGCGAGGGGCGGTGACGCGCACTAATCCTGTGACGCTGCCTTGCCCATGGCCGTCGAGGACGTTGCCACACCCTGGCTTACAGCAGGTGGACTAATCGCCATCTGGTTCCATCTGTACGGGGATGGAGTGTTGCCCCCTCCCTACACGCGTGGGTTTTCATCTGGGTGCTCCGGTTTCCTCCTATTTGTAATTTTTTTAAACACTCATTCATTGGCTGAATTTGTTTTTTTATTATGAGAATAGGTTTTTCCCGTTTTTCTGGCAACAAAACAGCTGTGTTTAGATGTAAAAACACCAAACTGAAACCTTTTACGAGGAATCATGTCTGCATTAACCCCAATACTTGTGGTCAGAATGCAAACAAAAAACATACTCTGGTAATATATGCAGTGTCTTTGAAACTGATTGGTCCACACCAGAGACAGCTTTCTTTCGATCGGTGTTAGACCAAAGGACGCCAAAAGGCCCTCATGATAAAGAGCCCTACATTTCAGTGTGGTTTTTATCGCTAAATAAATAAATTATTACGATGCGGGTGTCTGTGTATTTGTGTCTGTTTGTGTAATCGTGTATCTGCGAGTCTGTTGCGACCTTACTTGTGTGGCTGTGTGTCTGTCTCGGCGTACAGGCAGACCTCGCTTAGCGCTCAAGATGTGTTCCTGAAGAATGAGCGCGAATCGAATCAGCGCTAAAATGGTCATTACACCATTGCACACATGGGGATGCATTACCAATATGGTTTTTTATTTCCTATGAGAAATATATGAGGGCTTCATTGGGGTATGTGTCTGTGTGGGGAGCGGTGGCACAGTGGTTAGCACGCTGCGCAAGAACCCGGTGACCCGAGTCCGATTCCTGCTCACGACCAACACCAGTGACGATTATCTGAACTGATCCTGGGTCTCCCCTAGGTTGACTCAGCCTCAACTAGTACCTGGTGTGGTGTATAACAAAGGCGGCCGGGCATGGTGCTGGCTACCCACCCCCTCATGTGCAGTGTCGGCGTTAATAGGTGCTCAGTATCAGCACTTGCCCCAAAGGTCTGTTAAGGCTATGAGGGGGGTTTCTTTGTTCCATCACCTGTTGCCAAAACCTTCCACACTTCACGTGGCCTCAGAGTGCACCTGGCCTGGCACAAGAGCAGTGGTGACGTCACCATCACTTGGTGGCGAATGGCGGCTGTTGTTGTGTTGCTCTGTGTTTCTGTATGCGATGCAGTTATCTAGGCTAGAGTGATTGGACAGCGTGCGGTGAGATCAGCTCAGTAAAACAGTAGGAGGCTGCTAGACTTCTGTGCAGCCCATGGGCGTGTAATCACCAACATGCTGTTCCAGCATCGGTGCATCCATAACATCGTGCATGCATGCCATGTCCCAGCAAGAACATCTGGACTCTTTAGTGATGGAACAGAGAATGGGGACCCATGTCCTTGACACCAGGACCTACTGTGGAGCCTGTCTGCCCACTGACTAGCAATCAGTCAGCTTGTCATCTGTAAGGTCCTCCTGCCATTCCCCACTGCAATGGTGGGCATCCACCTCCGACCCTATTCAAATCCTCATTGGCTTGTTCTCAGCTAGCTGATGAAATCTTCAAATGAGATTGAATCAACACTTGCAGCTGGGGTTGGCGTCGTTCCCCTCGCATCCTGATGCCAAAGGAGAAATGACCGAGCTTTATGACTGTAGGTCATGCAGCTGCTTTGGCCGTATTGGGTACGCAGTCCAGACCTCCCTGGAAAATCCTGGCTGAAGAAAGGAGGTGTTCCGGTGAGCTCAGAGAAAGCGGCAGGTCCACTCCCACCGTCTCCGACATCCCAAGACATCCAAAGAATGAGGAGCCACGCGTTGCTGGGAGGATGAGTGGTGATCGCGGACTGCTGAAGAGATGGAAACTGCCGCAGCAGCTCTTGATCACAAATCACTCTTCATCTCGATACAAAAGCAACTTTCATCACCACTCTGATTACCATCCTGCAGGGAAAGAGTGGTGATCCAATTTCTTGAGCCCCAACAACAGGTTTTCAGATTTGCAGAACATTTCTGTGAGGTCTTGAGGGAGGTAAAATCCCTGAGCTCAGATATCATGGGGCATGATGGGGGGTTGACCCTGCTGGAGCTGCGGTACCTCAAATATTGGACGAAGTAGCCACCCCCTGAGAGCACTTGGCTGGTATATCATCTGTTTAGGGGGTGCAAATAGCAATTCACATTCCGAGACCAGGTAAAGCACCAATCGAACTGCTGAGGGAGGCTGGCGTCTGTGCAGACTACACGAAGTTACATCATTACAGCTGCCTCGAGCCATAGAATTCTTTCCGCAGGATTGTATGGATGCCCTGGTGGGGGTTTCCCTTCTTTAAAAAGGCGGGGGGGGGGTTGCACTGAT